CACAGTGGCCAGTGCCCAGCAGAGGCAGCCTGCAACAACAGAAGCACATCTGGCCCCAGGAAGGCTGCTGGCAGGTGCTGACAAAACAGCTGTCATCTAACGGTTTAGCAACGAGTCTCAGAGTAAAAACATGTAACAGCCACATGGATGCCTACAGAGGGTGACAGAGATGTACTGTCACATGCTCCCATTCACCACCCACCACAAACTTGGAGGAATAGTGGCTTAGGGTCAAAGTGCAGGTGGGTCACTGTGAGCCCGGAGAGCGGGGCCCTCTGTGGGTCAGTGAGGACAGGGAAGACGACCTCCCACCCCAAGCAGGTTAGCACAGGTGGGACCCCGGCTTTCCTCGCTACACCTGAGTGACCAACCTGCCCCAGCCCACACCTGGAGAAGGGGGTGGGCACCGCTCTCCAACCCCACTGCAACGGGGCCGCCAGTCCCACAGCCCTGAAGTAGAGGCGAGAGAGACTGTCCACTCCCGGGGCCTAAGAACACACTGTCCCCCATGTGGGTGCTTTCACCAGGAGACTCGAGGGGCAACTCCAGGCCAGCCTGCTCCTCTGCCCTGGGCCTTGTGGATCGGAAACCACAGTTCCTCCAGTGGGCCCCCTGCGGCCTGGCTTGGAGCCAGACCCACTGACCTCCGTGTCCCGGCTGCCCTGTGTGATGGAGCCCCACAGACTGGCCCCAGGAAGGGCGTCCGAGCAAGTGAGCCCCAGCGACAGGAAAACTGTCTCACCGAAGCCTGGTCAGCCCAGAACCCTCCCCGCCAGTCCAGGCTCCAAGCCAAAGAAAGAAAAAAAAAAAAAAAGGAAGAAACCAAATTTCTTTTCCTTCCATTTTCTTATCTTTTATCACACAGTGCACACAGACAAGCTCCCCTGAGAAGAAAAGTTGAGTCACACGGCAGCGTGCACGGTGGGAACGGCCCCTCCCTCCTCGCCCGCGCGGGGCACCCCGTGTGGTTCTCCGTGGCCGCACGCAGATGTGTGCATACTCGGACCGGCAGCCTCGCGGGCCCCATAGCCCTGGTTTCCCTGGCGCCCAGTACGAGTGTCCGACCGCAGACCCCGGGCGCCCAGGATGGGGGAGGTGGGCCTTCCTGCTGAGAAACATGTTCTCTTCAAGAGAAAGTCACTCTTGCAACAAACGTTTTGAGATGGAAGCGTCCATGTGGCTCGTCACAAGGAAACGTCTTTGACCCTGGGGCCCCGTGAGCCAGCTGAACGTGTTCGTGACGCTGAACACCACCAGCTCAGACGTCTCTAAGGACACTTGCAAGAAAACGAAGGCTTCATGGCATTTTCCTGCATCCCATTGCCCCCCATCCCTGGCTCAGCCTGGTGAGTAACCGCCACCACCATGGGGTGAAACAGGCCCCCGCGGCGGGCCTTCCCAGTTACCTGCAAATTTCTTCAGGAGATGCGAGGGGGACTTTTTGAACTCTGGTGCATATCGCATTGTAGCAGTCGAAGGGCAGACGAGAGGGTCAAGGGAACCTGGGGGAGAGAACGGGTTAGCACAGGTGGGACCTCATGGGCGGGGGGGGGGGGCAGGGACAGGGGGCCAGGCAGCACAGGCCCAGGTCTCACCTGGCGACCATGTCCCCAGCCAAGCCCCCTCAGCCGTGTAGCCCTGTTACACTCCAAGTGGACAACTTTGGATCAAACAAGAAACCGGCACCTCCTCCCTCCTGGGCTCCCACCAGTGGAGACTGGAGCCGACAGCAAGCCCGCCCTGTCCACTGTGACGTCACACAAGCCCATGACATCACACAGGGGGGCCCAGCAGCGACACCGGCAGCTGAAGCATGGACGGGAATGCTCACAGGGCCGAGGGCGAGTGGAAGGGGGGGCCACGAACCCCCCGCCCAAGACCCTTTTCTGCAAGACGTCCAGGCCTGGCTTCACGTCCTGCCCTCGCTCCTGGGTCATCCTTCTTGGGGTGTCCACGTTTCCTGGGACGCAACAGTGAGCAAAACAGACAAACCCCTCGCCCTCAGGGACATGTAGCCCCACAGGAGATAGACCATGTCAGGTCAGGCACGTGCTGCAGGGGAGAAGCAGAGCACGGAGTTGGGACTGATTCTCTGCTTACGTGGGGTAAGCCAGCGGCCTCAGGCTGGCTGAGCAGTGTGGGGAGGAAGTGAGGGAAAGCATGCAAGCCTGAAGCAGCAGCAAGTGCAAAGGCCCCGGGGTCAGCCAGGCCTGGCCAATCTTGAGAAACCAAGAGGCTGCACACTTGGGAGACCTGAGGATTGAGGGGACCGGTCTGGCCAGGGCTGAGGTCCCAAGGGTGTGACAAGCAGCCGGTGGGCTGGAAAGCCATCTGTGTGCCTTGGGGAAGTAGCCTGCTGGGGCCACAGAACCTGCATGAGGCAGGCCTGGGGGACAGGAGCCCCAGAAGACTGGGAGAGGAGGGAGGCCCGTGCCCAGCCCAGAGAAGGGTATGGGAGCAGTGAGGAGGTCCAGGTGCCAGGTGACCATCCCTCTCCCACGCCTGGGCCGCTGGGGCAAGGAGCAGGGACCTATAGGGGAGGGCTGAGTGCTGGCCGACTGCAGGTGGGAAGGAGGCCACAGGACATGGCAGGAGGGCTGTGGGGCCATGAACGGCCAGCCCGCGGGGTTCAGGAGCTGCATTGCTGCCAGAGGCTGAGCCCAGGGCAGCGAGCAACAGCTCGTGGGGCGGGAATCAGGGTAGCCTTGTGCTGGGACCTATGTCATTGCGACCCCAAGAGCGGGGCCCCAGGAAGACGTGGGGGAAGGCAAACCGTGACAACCAAGCCAGAGAGGAGCGAGGGGTGCAGGCGAGAGGGGAGAGGGCCGCAAGGGCAGCCAGGGCAGCCCACAGTGGGGTGGGTGGGAGACGGGTCCCCAGTGAGAGCAGCCTGGAAATTTTGGGGTGCGGTGGTGAGCCCGCGGATCTGGCAGTGCCTGTCCCTCCCACGGCTCATGCCACAAGGAAGCGGGCTTCAGTCCCCCTCATCACCAGTCGTAGCACCTGGCCTCGGCGCCACGGTTTCCTTTACTGTAACATGAGAGTGACGACACAGTACCCGCTCCGTGGTAGCACCCACACCCCGAGGGCTTCTGACAGCCCCATGCGCTAGCCTGGCGCCCACTGATGCAATTCACAGGCCAACGCTTCACCCACGGGAAGTGCACCAGTCAGTGGGTTCGGGGCACTTGCGGAGTCTGCAGCATCACAACCCATTGCAGAACGTCTCCATCAGCCCAGGAAGAAACCCCGCACCCGTGAGCAGGGCCTTGCCCCTGCCCCGTTACCCATGGTGCACCTCCAGCCGGCAAGGCCCGCCGCGCTCAGCACGCCCATCACTAGAAGCACGGGGGTGTGAGGTCTCTGGTGTCCGGCTTCGTCCACAGGGCAGGGGTGTCGGCGCCTGGCTCCTCTGGGGGCCGGACAATTGCCTTGCTTCCTCTCTGTGGCCACCAAGGGAGCAGCCAACGTGGCCGGAGTTAAGTCTGTGAGCCCTGAGCCCCGTTCCCCAGTGAGGACTAGCGACTGCACTGAACACATTTCATTTTCGTTGACAGACATTTGCTCTTATCAACTGTGAGGACTTCCCAGGGGGAGTAGGTGTTGCCACGGGTTTTCTGAAATAAAGTACCACCAGGACCCATGACAACCGCAAAGAATTCCAACTCCTAACCGTTTACTAGCACCGTAAAGGGATTTTGCTGACATGGGGGGCGTAGGGCCCGGGGTCGGGGAATCGGCAGGCTCACAGTCCGTCCGCGGAGGCCTGCGGCGCTGTGGGAAGGGCAGGGTCCACGTTGGCCTGGCTGGGTGGGCCTGGGGTGCTCCGGGAATCTCCCCAAGGATGGGGGGAGCAGGGCAGAAGCCCAGCGGGGAGGAAATGGACAAGTCTCCAGAGAGGTCTATCTGCTCAGGGGAAAGAAACAGGTTGTGGCCGAAGGGGAAGCCAAAGAATCGTAGCTTTGTAAAACCACATGTGAAAACCAAAGGACGTGATCTGCTGTTTCGAGAGGAAACCAGGGCTTCCCTGGTAACTGAGGGACCAGAAGTGAGGGGCCCCTGGCCTCTCCTCCTGACCGTTCCCTGACATGGTGACAGGCGCCGCGATGCCAGGGGCCACAGTGCCGGGAACGGGAACCAGCCCTGGGGGACCACGACCACGTATTCTCCTCGCACAGGCTCCACGTTCCCCGTACAAAAAAGCCTCAGGGGCACGGCACACAGTGTCCCACAACTAACGGCACTGAGCCGCAGAGACAGCCGGGCCAGCTAGAAGTCCTCCCGTAGCTACGGGACATGAAACAGACGCAGTCACCCACGGAACCGCGCATGAGCCCGCCAGCCTGCAGGACCCCCCTCACCCCCAGACACTGGGCCCTCGGAGCACTGGCCGGGTCCGGATCACAGCTGTAGCAACTGTTCTGCCTACCTGGTGCCAGGACGGACACCTGCCAGTAGCACCCAGCCACCAGAGAGGAAGGCCGCCTGCCCAACCGGCCTGGCCGAAGCACCCTGTGCCCGGAGGACCTACAGGGGGAGAGGCAGGGCCAGAGAGGAGGTCTTGGGAGGTCGCTGAGACCAGTTTCACTCGCTTTATGGAGGGAGTATTGGGCTGGTGGGTGTACGCTGCCTTAGCCTCCTTTCTGAGCAGCGTGTTCCCCGGGGACTCCACGGCACGAACACCAACACACCAACAGCGAAGAAAAGACTGTGGACGGCATTCAGACCTCAACTCCCTTTTTTGAAAAACTAGAAGCGCAAGGTCAAGAATGTCATTTCTAAAACGCCTTCTAGGAATCTGGCAAATTTTATCAAAATTAAAAGACACAATGTTTCCAGAAATTAATGCTATCACTGTAATACTCACCTGCTTGCACACAGAGGGACATTCACCACCCCTCCCCAATACCTCCTAAGAGGTCACTGGAATGAACCAGCACATTCCATCAGCGGGGTATTCGTGCGGCTGCCAGACAAGGAGGCAGCCTACACGCCCCTGCACGGGAACATACTCAAGTATGATAAGACTGTATTCTGACCCTTTCAGGTTCTGTTCTTCCTATCCAGGTCTTCGATCCACCACAGATTTGTTATGATGTGGTACGGCGGCCCATTATTCCCACAGGGATTTAAGAGAAAGGCCAGTTACAGAAGAACACAGTGTGTGTGTGTGGTTTTTTTTTTACGGTCAGTGTGCTCTTGTTTGTGGGGAATAAAATCACACAGACATGTGTTTGCATTTGCTTGAAAGAACTGAGGGGAACACAAGACCCGTCACCCCGGTCGTTACTCTCGTGGAAGCAGGAGAGGCTATTGGGAGAGGGGATACAGGCTCCTCACCTGACGTCCCTGCGCATCTTCCCTACAAGCAGGTATTACTGTGGAGACTAGCATGAAAAACACAAATGCCTAAACTGCCCCCCGTAAGTCGAACAACTGGAAGAGAAAGGCCCGACGGAGCGCCCATTCCATTCACAATGCAGATCAACACAAGGGCCTTCCCGAAGGACTCCTTCCAGCCGCAAGTAACAGAAACCCTCCCAACTCCAGTCACCAGCTGCACTGGGGTTCCTGGCGGCCGGGCGGCCGGCACGGCTATGCGCAGAGCCGGGCCCGAGGGCACTCTGGGCAGTGGCTATGTCATCCAGTCCTCGCGGCCCCCTTCCAGAGACAGCCTGCCACCCCGTGTCCAGGGCGCATGGCCGGGCGTCCAGGTGCATGGCTGTGGGGATGGCCTGCCCTCTGGAGGGTCAGGGAACAGTACGGGGCCATGGCAAATGTGAGCCACCCCGCGGATGCAGGTCACACGGCACCGAGCAAGACTGGTCTCTCTGCAGGATCTGTGCGCCATCACTGGTCTCCCTAAAATCTCAGAGAAAGAGGACAAAATAGTGGTTACCAAGTCACCTGACAAGGTTTTCTTAGACCCCAGTGCCAGTGAGGTGCACCGCTCGGCTCCTCAGCTGAAGGGCCGGAGCTCTGCGCGGGCAGGAGCACATGGGTTGCAGCCGCTCGGCGGGACGGGGCGGCCACCGGGAGGGAGTGCCCGCAGGGAAGGGCAAGGCTCGCGCTCAGGCCACCTGTTGCTGTCACATCTGTCCTAGAAGGCCCTCAGAAATCCTGAAAGACGCTTTCCCTCATTGCACCCGCGAGACGGGTGACCGACCATCCTCCAGGATGGAAGTCCTTATTCTACAGCTGGCCAAGGGGCTGTGCCCCACAGCGCCGGCCACGCCTTCCCCCTCCTTCCCTACAAACCTTTTTCTAATCCGACGTATCTTCAGTTATTCCCAAACCCTAGATTTTAAAGGCAAATGTGATTTTTCCAACATCAAAAATCTACACCAGAACTTTTCAAGACTTAAGTCAGAAGAGAGCGTAGAGGTAACATGCACCAAACCCCAGCACGTCACAGAAGATACAGCAACGTCGTAAGGTAAGGAAAGTCTGTTTAATGACAACGA